CACCCTCACTGTGTATTTTTTCACAAATGTCTAATCAGGATTTCCCCTCATTGGAACCTCTGCCTATTGACTCCTATCTGTTACTGTGTAAATCTGTTTGGTTTCCACTTCTTTGCAACCAGCCATTGGGTACTTGAAGTCAAAAGTAAGATCTACACTATCACCTTTTCTTCTTAAGACTGAACAAATCAAACTTTCAGCTTTTGTTGTATGTCATGTGCTCCAACAACCTGATGGCCTTTCATTGGACTTGCTCCAATTTGTCTCTCATTTTGAGGAATGCAAAACTGGACAATACTCCAGTTGCATTTATTTCCAATAGATGTGCAATTTGATTCTTAGTAATATATGACTGCAGCTTGATAGCAGAGCACTGGAAAGCTGTGGCTGAATTAGAAAAACCTGAGATAAATTGGGACAGTATGTGCCTATTTAAAGCAAAATAGAATATTTTGTTGCCAGCCTGAGGATGAAGTAAGGATTTCCCTTGTGTTTAAAGCATCAGAAATACAGGATATTTTGTCTTCAAGTGTAGAAAAATCAAAGAATTTGCTGGGACCTGCTTATGTATTTCTTAGAAATATAGATCTCTAAGATACTAGTGAAGTCTCTTTTTATGATACAGTTTTCAATTCTGGAGCTAAAATCTTCTGTTTGTTATGTGGGCAGGGAAAGCATAACAAATGCTCTTTAGAACCGTCTTAGATTTAGAAGGCAACGTGATTGCCAGTGTTTCCTGAAGTGAGTATTCAACATAACAGATAGTCCTTTCTCATCCCCAGTTCCCCAACTCTTCTCCACTTTCATCCTCTTTTTCTAGACTACTCTTTCCTGTTCGAGGTTCCTTTTGTACTGGCTGCTTCCAAACAATCAGTCTGACCTTTAAGTTGTACCATTTCTTGCTTTCTAATCTCTCATCTCATGGTATCCTCCTCTTGCTAGAAATTGATGACATTTAGGGATACCAAAGGAGCAGGATCATTTTACTGTTACTTGATTATTCATCACAATCTGTGGTGTTTTCTTACCCATATCTTGCATCTGTGATGGGGTAATGTGATAGGTGAATTGACTAATGGCTTTACTGATACTCCATTCTGAACTTCCTGTTGCTTCTGTATCATTTTTGGTGCTGATGAAACGCAAGCTGGGCATTTATTATTATTTGTTTTTATAATACTACTAAAAAGTGTTCATAACTATGAATCTGTGAATTCAGAAATGTGGGCTTGCACAGGCAGTTGTTAGGTGGGCTTCCAGCACACAGACTTAGCAAACTGTACATTAAGCTAATGTTAACAGTAACAAGGCTGGGAAACCACAGAGAAGGGTCACTGGAGTGAGACATGCCCAAAACATACTGATTCTACCTGCCAGGCCAGCAATACGCTCCCTGAATTAGGTCTCACTACCTGCAACATATCTGCTCAGTTCTCCAAGGTATCTCCAAGACAACTCCAAACCAGAAGGGGATCGATAGCTGGAATGGATGTTACTGGTCAGCAGACACTCTGGGATAGGGTCTAGGGTGTCCATACTGGAGGCAGTCTATGTTCTGAGGAGCAAAAGGGATGGGCAGCTCTGCATCTGGCCAGGCCTGTTTTTTTGTTGTTCATCTCTGTGAAGCAATTGGCAGAACTTTTCCTTGGCAGGTGAGACAGAGACTTCAGAAAGCAAGCCTGGAAAGTCTGCTGAAGGAAGACCATCAGACTGGCTATCAGCCAGTGTTAGCAAACAACAGTCTCTAAACACAATCCCTCTGTCTTTGGAGCTTTTTAAATGAATATTCAAAAAATCTATCTGCTCATATGTTTCAGCATAATATGATAGACCTTTGCTCCATCACTTTTAGTGATAATCCTGACCTATGCCTTAAGCTGCCACAGTTGTTTGGTGTGCTACTCTTATAGGAACATTCACTCTAAATATTAGAAAAGCGTATTTTGGGATGTTAATAATAATGAACCTAAGTTGTGGAGGTTTCTCAAGTTGAGACAGAATGTTTACCTTACTGAAGGCTTTGGAAAGCAACATTGCAGATGACACACTTGTCAAGCACAGTAACCTTTGGTAGGCTCAGGGAGAAGATGCCATGACAAGATTCTCTTTCTGGTACATTTCTTTTCAGATAACTTAGCTACATGCAGGGCCTCCTTGAGTCCTGAAGAAACACTGTGGACAGTGCAAAAATTGCAAGGTTAACACTAACTGAAGAGCTTCAGAAAATAGAAAGAATTTCCACAAAACCTTTTTGGAGGATGTTCTCAGGGTTACAGGCCTAGCATAAAAGTAGGAGAAAATTCTTAATGACTAGTGGTCTGTTGCTATTTCTACATAAATAATGGGAGTCTGCCCCAGCACCAAGGAGGCAATGTTGCTCTGTGTTATATTGCTGATCCTCTGGAATTCACTAGTGGCTTTACATGCACAGTGTTTCCTAAGTGGAGGGACCCAATATTCCTTTGGTTTTGCTGTTCTCCGATTTAAGTATCAAACTTCATAAACAAGAATATTCTTCCACTGTGTCCCAGCCATGCCTAACCACTTCTCATGAAGTTCCTGTATGTCCAGGCAGTTTTACCTGTGGGAATTCACAGTTTCAGATACTAGAATTGTGAAAAACTCCCAGCTGTCCACTGTTATGAACTCACCACTATATATATTATTCTTCAAGAACCTCTCTGTTGCCTCAGCAGCTGAATTGGGCAATTCTAGCATGAAGAAGCTGTGACAGCTGGATATCACCATTCTCCTTTCAATGCTGCAATAGTGTGCTAATGCTATTTTAATGCTTAAAGTAATACTAAAAAATTGGTCAGACCTTTAAATTTTCACTGTGGTGAATTCAGGTGCTTTTGTATGTCTGAGCTAAAATAACCACTAAGGATGTGTTCATGCCAGGTGTGATTTTGTCCAAAATTGCTGCCTCTACAATAGCAATAAAGTGTCCGCCTTCGAAGTATTTCTAACTATGGACCAGGGCACAGCACCTGCTGTTGTACTCAAACGTTATCATTTTCAACTGGAAAAATCAGGTTAATTTAAAAAGTTAAATATTGGCACTTTGTTACATATTATTAGCGTTTAAAATTCTTTCATATGACTTTTCCAGCTTTTCTTTCTTTTTCAGTAGGCAAGAACAAGGCACTCTTACCTCTACTCTTACTGTAGCAGGGAACAAGCATTTCCTGTACAGTGCTATAGAGATGTGCTTGAAACTGCCCCCCTGGGTGATCCAAGCACACAGGAGAACGGTGGGTTTTTCACAATCTTTAACATCTGTCAATCTGTTATATGCAGAAAGCAGACCAGCCAGTGAACAGGCACCTACTGAGAACTGTGGCTGGCTGGAGAGCCCAGGACAGGAAAAGAAAAAAAAAAAAAAAAAAAGAGAGTTACGACATCTAAGTTATTTACAATTCATTTAACACCTCCATGCTCAAGTGTACCAGTGCGATAGCGCTGCCACTTGACTGGCCATATTCTGAAACGTGGTGAATGCTGCCATCTAATGGTATCTGAGCGGTGAACAAAAGCCACCGGCTCATTCCAGCTCACCCAGAACACAGTAACTAGTTTCACCTCTGAAGCCTCACTATGCACTGCAGGCATAACAGCCATCCAAGCTGGACAGAAGTAGGTCTCAGGCTGACACACCCAGTATCTCTGCAGCCTGCTGCTGACACCGAGTGAAAATTTCTGAGTTCTAGTAAGAGGTCTGCAGAACTTCATTGTCAACTTTTTTTTTTTCTGAAGAGAAGCTGGTTCTGGAAGTCAGAAAGAAATTTCAAGTGGTACTGTGTCTGAAGTCTTTAACTTGTTGTTTTCGTGGGTCTTCATGTGTCCTACAAATAGCTTAGATATGACTATATTTGTCATATTTTAATAGTATCTAACCAAGGAAATAACTGTAATAACACATCATATCTTGTAATAAACTGAAAATGAAGATACCTCTAAAAAAAACAGACAAAAAATGCATTAAGCATCTCAAGTCTTTATTGAAGAATCTGAAATCATCCTATTTAATAGCACTCCTGAGGCCACCGTGACACTTCACCTGATCAACCTAAACTGCAAGGAAACCCACTAAATGTATTATTAATACACACTATTCATACATGGTATTTTTCAGAACCAACAAAATAAATGCTTCCTCCAACTTTAATAAATTTTGTTTCATAAGATGCACCATGAGCTCCTTTTCAGATTACCAAGCAATACTTCCTATGACATTTGGATTAAGTATAATGATGAAATGTTATGTACAATAAATCTTACCATTTTCTGGAAACAACAGCTCTTGCATAACATCCTTTCGTTTTGGTAACTATTATTATCACAATTTTCAGACACTGAATGATATAAAGAGCAAATCATATACAGCTTTCAAGCACAGACACCTGAGGATGGTATGTTAAATCTATTTAGGTGCACGTGTAAAAAGACACCTCAAAAATTCTTAAGCATAAACAAATCCCTTCAAAGGCACTAGGAGGAAGATGGTCCCAAGCAACATAGAAATTAGTGGCTGATTATACTCAAGTGTCTAGAGTGAACTCTTTTAGAGAAAATGCAGCAATTATTTTTTTTACAATAACCTATTTTTGAACCAGGCTTTATCTCTGAAGAGATACACATTGTTCTACAGCCTTGAGTGCTTATAAATCATATTACAGTTACAACTGATCTTTAACAGGTTTCTTCTGTAAACACAGATATATGAAATAATACCAAAAAATGGCAGCTGTAAAAATTAACTCACCTACTCCAGTAGCTGAGGGAAAACAATTTTGTGGTTTGATTTTCCCCTAATACTTATGACCTAGTTGTTTAGATCTTAATTGTTTTAAGGAGCATTTGGAAAATTGAACAATAAGAATATTTAAAGGCCATCATTATTCTAAATTCAGACTATTATGCTCTGGGTTCAAAATATATTCTCCATCTGAATATAACTGATACTGTTTTAAGCAAAGATGCTGCAGACTGGTGCAACCTTATGTGTCCACATTACCACTATCTGTTTCAGCAATTCCATCATAAAATAAAGGGAGAGATATGGAAGAAGTAGTCCGTGATTTATCCAGCTTCCTACCACTATTCTCAGGAAGAATTGATACCATAAGACTTTCCCTCTCACGTGTTTCCTCTTCAAAGACAGCACTGTTATAATGCTTATGACGGTATAAGAAAGATTTAGTTTTAAAAGAATGCTGCTTCAAATACCTCCTGAAGGCCCTTTGAATAACACAAGCTGATACCTCCTCTTGTTTTCTTTTAAGAGTAGTAGTAATTGGCTTGTAAGAAACTTTAGATGGATTGGCAGCCATAAATTTTTCTTCCATGTGTAATTCAAGACCATCCAAATCTCCAGCTTCTCCCAAGACCCTTTTAGTGAAAGCAAGCAAGATATCCAAGCAGTGGATCTTATCACCACTAACTATAGGGAGGTCCATGGATATAAGCTGCATTTTATTAGGCTTTGGAATCCGTAAAGGTTCTGCCAGAGCATCTGCAAAGTCTGAAAGAGCAGAATACTCAATAAACTGTGTTGCCTGAGGATCAAATTTGCCCCAGGTTTCATAAAACATATCAAAGTCATCCTCACAAAGAGGATCTGTGCTTTCTTCAGTGGCAACACTGAAGTTCTCTAAAATGACAGCAATGTACATATTCACAACAATGAGAAATGATATAATGACATAACTTACAAAAAACAAAATCCCAACCCCTTTATTTGTGCAATTGCTTCTCTGTTCAATTGTTAAATTTAAGTTTGGAGCACATGAATTAGAACCTTTTAAGAGAGGGACCAGAAGACCATCCCAGCCAGCTGATGTTGTAATCTGGAAGAGACAGAGCATGCTACCCTCAAAGGTTTGAAAATTGAAAAGATTGTCAATCCCACTTTCCCAGCCAACACAGGCAAAGTTTGTCATGCCCACAATAGCATAAATGAACATAACCAGGAAGAGCAAGAGGCCGATGTTGAAGAGAGCAGGCAGGGACATCAGCAGTGCAAAAAGCAGGGTCCGGATCCCTCGGGCCTTTCGGATCAACCTCAGGATACGGCCGATTCGTGCCAGGCGGAAAATCCTCAGCAGGGTGGGGGAGAACGCTGTCCTGAAGCCTTCAGAGAGCCCAGTGCCTTGACATGAAAGAGAAACAGAGCCTGGGCAAGGCACGCCAGTGAAGTTCCCCATTTATGTTCCTTCTGTTATATTCTGTGCTTTAGGTGTTGAAAGTAACATTGATCACATCACTTTTAACAAAAACTTTATCAGCAATACTGCAATTGCTTACAAAAGAGCTTAGGAAGAGAAAGACAAAGTGTTAGACCTTTAAGTATTAAAAATGTATCACAGTCATGTATAGTTTGGAAAGTGCATTATCCCAGGTTTCTCTCATTCAGGGGATGAAACTACACATCCCTCAAGTACTTAAAAAATCCTTTTAAATCCCTTCAGCTCCTGTGCTGGAAGCTATGGGGCTTGTCTCTCAGCTGCAGCCTGACTGCTGCTGCTTCTGCAGGCATAAGCCACATGCTAAATATGAGACTTTCATTAATCCTTGGTACCTGAATAAGAAAAAAAGCAAGAATCTGCTTTCTTAAAAGAAAGTCCTGTGAAATGAAAGAAATCTTCCCAATTTTTCATACAAATGTATTTTTAACCTGAATTTACTTCTATTGTGAAAACAACAGCTAACATGATTACATGTAAATTAAAAGCATAAAAACATTAAGTACAATAAAAATAAGCAACTTAAAAACAGTTTAAGTACAATAATTTAGAAAAGATATTACTGTGTTAAATTCCTTTTCTGTTAATTACTCAGTAAAACTCATACTTGGGAAAAAACATAAATTTAAAATTATCCAGTTGTTTTTTAGTACTCTGAGAAAATATAAAATATATCCTTTCAGAATGAATCACTTAGCATGGGGTTTGAAAAAGTACAATGAATTTGGAATTTGTTCATCAGAGATATGTAAGTGGTTACTTCATACTGAAATTTGGCTTAGGATTGGTAAATCATGTTATCTGATCTGATAATGATTGATACTTACTAACTAGTGAAAGGATCACAACAGCTAAATCAAATATGTTCCAGCCACTGGTGAAGAAGTAATGTCTCAAGGCCAGTATTTTTATGACACATTCTGCAGTAAAAACTGCCACAAAAAAAAAGTTGATTTTATTAAGAACTTCCTTAATGTCAGTCTGGTTATTTTCTGCCATCATAACGATCATGTTTAGACAGATGAAAGTCACAATGGTAATGTCAAATGCTTTGTGTGACACCATATCAAACAGCACTCCTTGGAATGCGTTCTGTGGAGAGAACAAGAGGAACTGCTTAATGCTACATACAAATTTTAATCAGTAATTTCTGGTCAGAAAAAAAGAATTTAAGAGCACGTAAATTTAACAATAAGTTACTAGAAGCATTTTTAGGTGATTTCTTTAGATCTTCAAAGAAAACAGTACTTGGATAATTATTTTCAGATATCATGCAACCACAGTTCCTTAGAAAAAAATTGTACAGCACAAGAACATTCAGAGTAAATTGTGATTGCTCTTTTAATAGAAACATTGATTGAAGCAAACATGTTAGGATAAGCATTTCTAATTAAAATGTCATAAGCAAGAAAAACTCTGAATAGTTACTATGTGAAGCCAGGCCTATAATGAAATTTAAGAAAGTATAAGAAATAAAGCATAAGATTACTTAAAAGTAAATAACAGCCATGGGGCATGTGCTACTCACTATTCACTCTCACCTGCAATAACCCAGTCTAGCTGCAGAAGCACTATCATGCAACTTAACTGACCAAGGTCATGTTATGAATATCAGACAGTTAATATGAACCTCTATGAATAGGTTGTACATTTGAATAGGTGATTAATAGACTGTAAATTTCTTTAATACCCAGAAAGAAAAACTGCATTAGATGGAATTAAGAAAAAGAAAGTAAAAAGTAAACACTATATTGAATGAGGAAGATGATGGGCTCCAACATGAAGTTTATTCCCAGATTCCTGGCTACTGAGTTTAAATATATTCACCATCTTTATATATTCTATCATATTCCACTTAAGATGTTCTCACCGATGGTCTTGGGATGGGTTTTTGAGGTTTCTTGGATCCAAGTTTTTTTAGAGCATTATAGTACTTTTTCTGTTCCTCAGTCAAAAATAGATCTTTTCCACCTAAGTAAAGGGAAAGGATATTGCTCTTCAGCTGAAGTTTAAGCAGTCAACTAAACAAACACCAGCAAGCTTATGCAAAAAAAAAAAAAAAGAAAAAAAAAGAGTAAGCTAGAGTTCTTTAGAGTGGGATCTAAGGGACCACAGAGACATGAGTCTTCACAATTTCTCCTTTTCTCCTTGTTCTTTGAAAAGATGTATTGTAAAAAAACCTGATTTGGGTATGATTGTGAAAGTCAAGTCTAGGCAGTGATCCTGAGTTAATCTCCACAACTAAGAGAACCTTCCTGAAGCTTTACAAATCTATTTCATATTTTTAAAATTACATAAGGCTCATCAACAAGTAAAATAATTTCCATTTATATTTTTGGGAAAAGTGGGAATGGAAATACATTGCTGAGCTAGCAAGTAAATGGATTGTGAACAAGCACTTTGGGACCAAGATCTACAGGGGGTTCCTGATAATGAATTTCTGGTGTTCATCATATTACCTTCTATGCCACTTGGATTCCTTAGCTATCACTTTGAACCGAGTGTTCAGGAGAAGCCACTCATCATAAAGGCATGAAAAAATTAGCATTTTGTAAAACAAATGTGTAGCATTGTTCAGTAAGGAATCTGCACTTGGAGCCACTCTGGCAAGACTTCTGAAAGTTCAGCTTAGCTTAACTATATGGAATCTCAGTGAAAATCCCCAAGCAGCAGCAAAGAAATGAAAAATTTAAGAATCCCCAGTTGCAGCATGTAGTGAGAAAAGGAAAAAAAAGTGTTACATCTACATCAACGTTCAGCCTCATAAACTGCTTAACCAATGTTGTTTCTGTCTGGATTATTATAACTGGGACTTCACTGTAAAAGGAAATTATCATAGTGAAGTTGGACTGTTGATCCTCAACCCCCATATATCCTTTCTCTGTTCAAAAGCAGAGAGCAGAATTTCTTTTGGGCATTATTGCTCCCATCGCTACCAAAGGCATTAATTCTTTGACACTTGGTGTATAGAAATAATAAATGGCTCCTGTGGAGATGCCATCTTCCAAATGTGAACCTTAAAACTGTACACCTCCCACTGGATCGATTTTTATGGTTTTTTTTTAATGAGCAAGATGCTTATTTGTTTTAAAACTTCTAAGTGAATTGACTCCATTTCTCTTGATGTTCTGAATACCTAAAGCTCCTAAATGAATCAGGGAGAGAACTCAGTTGACAAATAAGCTTGGCACAAAGAAGCTGAGGTATACCAAGGAAGGCTGACTCTTGCCTTTCTTTGGTTGTTGCATTTTCCATTCTAAGCTTTTGTCTTCAGTTTCTTACTGAATAAAAGGAACAGGGAATCTAACAACTATGAGGAGAAAAGTGGAAGAATTCATTGCTTGATGGCCTTTAAGAAGCCTTTAAATTCCTAGATGGCCTCTTCCTGGAGCCACAGCTCCAGGAATGCAGACAATGAGACAAATGTCTCAATGCAGACATTTTTTAAAATTCCAGTAAATTAATCTGTAGAGTTATTTATTGATGTCAGGTTTTTTTTAAATGTAGCCAGTTTTAGAAGAAGTTCTGATTAACAAGACCTTCTCCAGTTTCTTCATCAGCAATGCTGTGGTTACTTCTTCCATGATCAGTACTGTTTCTTGATTACCTTGATCACATTTCTTAGGTGTTTACTCTCAGGAAAAAGGTATTTTCTGTTGTCCAAAGTAAATCTTCAAAGCAGAAGAACAGAATTCTGCTCTCCTGTACAAAAGTCTATACAACTTTTTTTAGCTTCTCTTCTTTACAACTACCCACTCATTCCTCTTCACCCTCCTACGTGGAACAAACTGAGGACTTGGCATGAAAATAGGATTTACAGGTAAATTACTAAAAGTTTTGAGGAAAAGCAGACTTCTATTTTTAGAACTTGGTATCTAAACATTATTTGAAATGTCTCCAGTCAAATAGTTATCTGAAAGTTTTAAACATCTAGATGTCAAACTAGCATTCACTTAATCAAATCAGGATTACAGGAGACCCTGAATGAGCTCATGTAGCACTTATCTTTTTCCTTTGTTGGTTAAAATTGCTGATAACTACTCCAATGAAAAGGTTCAGCATGAAGAAAGATCCAAAAATAATGAAAATCACAAAATACATATACATGGCTAAGAATGCTTCAAATTTAGGCTGTTCATCTACCTGTTAAAAAAGTCAAGACAGAAAAATAATATTGGTAAAAATCAGACAATCACAGCTTTAACATTTCCAATTTATAATAAATTTTATTGCCAGGAGGAATTAATTATTTCTAAACCTTTATAACTCTATTTAGATGTACAAGTAGAACAACTGTCTTTTTTCATCTTGTTACCATTTGTAAACATAATTACAAAGATATTTAGCCAAATCTAGCTCTAGCAAATAAATTAACAGATAAACAGTTCCTATCAGAAGTGATGCTGTGAATACCTAGATTAGAAAAACAGCTCAGACTAAAAAAATGTTCAACTGCCATTCCCTCAAATGCTATCCCAGACAACAGCAGATTCTAAAAGTCAGCTCACTACAATCAAACCTACAAGGAAGAATCTTTTTAATTCACAGCTATTTTACTACATTCAAGAGTACAGCACTTGAATGAATAAGGAAAATGCAAATTAAACATAGAAAAGTTAAAACACTGTACTAGTGAAAGAATGAGAAACAGCCCTTGGAAATGGGGAAGAAGTGGTAAGGATGTCAAATACAGGGAAGAAAAACTCCAGAAATAAATGCTAGAGACGCAGGTCATCTTAATGCTGCAGTACACATTTTTAAAAGAAGGAAATGTGCTTCAGAGGCACAGTCCCTCTTAAGACCTTCTAAATTCTGTTGCCAAACAGACTTGTTCAAAACTTGCAACGTCTTGTCTTCTGCATTCTTGATATATTAGGTTCTTGTGTGGTATCACTCTATTTTGACCAGTTTACTTTGGTCTAAACTCTAGATATTGGGTCCTCCAAGGATTATTGTTTCACTTCACAGTTTCATCTGCTTGTATTTCTGACTTGATATCACAAAAAAAAACCAAAAAAAAAATATAAACAATGAATTGTATGGATAGAAAGGGAAAGAAGGAAAGGGAAAAGAGCTAAAATTTCAGTTTTAGTGACATACATCACGTGAGTCCACTGCTGCGTACATAATATCCATCCAACCTTTAAAAGTTGCCTGAAAAAAAAATATGCATTATTAAGGTTATTATCACTAAAAAAATATTAAAAAATAATTAGGTAGAGCTAATATAAATATGTTAAGAGTTACAGAAACGTGAGTAGTGTGCTATAAAAATGTGAATAACTTCTAAAGATCTGCTTGATTCAAGTCAAGTGATGTGCAGTTCACTGGGGTTTAGTAAGAAGGAAAAAAAAATTCTTTCCCAAAAAGAAAAAAACATTGCCATGAATCCTGTGAAATATGTTTTCATGTTGAAACTTTTGTAAATTCTCTGCTTTTTGAAAAAGCTGTATAAGTTTCAGCTTTAATAAATACATCCTAAAATGATAAAAACAACTTCAAAGAAAACAGGAGGCACTTTATTCCTGCAATTCTTAACAACTCAAAATCATAGAACATTTTGGAAGATACAGGGAAAAAAATTTCATCAAGAAAAGGCACAGGGCTAACAGCCACTTTTAAAAATGTCTTTCCCTTTTTTCGTGATATTAGGGAGATTTATACGATAAAAGAAAATACAGAAACAGAAATAAACTGCATTGTGCATTTTCTTTCTCATCCACTCCAAAGCAACTTCTACTGAAGAAAATGAGAATAACAAGCAGGCTATTGCAGGCTTACTACGTTCATCAAAGCTGAGACAAAATAGAAAAGCCATGAAACAGTTCTTGATTTTAACACAAGGTTGCATATGCTCAAGTGTTCTTTAGAAGGAACTGAGCAGCTTACAGATAAGAGATGGAAGCTGAAAACAAATCCCCAATTTCAGTGAGATAAACAGAAGCACAGTAGTGTCCCCTGATTGGGCTGCTCAACATATTTCCCTGAAGAAAACAAAACTGAACATATTTTTATAGAACTTACCACTTGGAGAAGAGCCAAGTATCCCATCCCAACGTTATCAAAGTTTACATCACTGTTTGTCCATGTTCCACCACGGGTGGTACAATCAATTCTGTTTTCAATGTCTTTCACACTTCCTGTCTCGAGTACGCATTTTGAAAATTTTTTTGCAAGTAATTTTACTCCTGTGATGTTAAATAGGAGCCAGAAGACAATGCAGACAAGCAAAACGTTCAAGATTGAGGGGATAGCTCCCAAGAGTGCATTCACAACAACCTTAAATAAAATTAATGAAAATAATTAATTATTCACATTCAGTAGAGCATCACTCCAGAAAACCTTTTTTTTCTTCTTCTTCTGTCTCTATTGCAGGTTCTCACTCTTCTAAACTCTAGTAGATGACAAATGTAAAACCAGCCTAAATCCAGGCCAACTTCAAGCTTGTCTTCACGTGTAACTTCATGGTATCTACCATGCCTTTCTGAGGAAGAAAGTAAAACAGATAGCAACCAGAATTCTCCTTGGGTAAAAGAAATGGAGCCTGTAGTAGCTATGGGATCTAAAAATCAAGTCTATGGGAATGTGTTGTATAATCTGTATTTACTACAATATCATAAATAACCCTCTCTTTTAACTTGGAGGGGCTTTATAAGAGAATAACAGTTTGCTCTCCATAACAAAATGAACCAGACCAAACAACCACTGGCAAATGACTGCACACAGGACATAAAGTAGAGAAGTCTGGCTTTTGGTCAGCAGTCTTCCCTTCACTTAGGTTTGCCTGAGGATAAGATGAATGCAAACCCACAACGAGCAGTAAGCCTCTTCCAGAAACGGTACCAGTACAAATGGGATTCCGGCTTTTGGTTTCTATGCTGGAGATGTCAAAGGACCTGGCAAAAGCAGTGACAAGAACTCATCTTTGTGAATCCAGCTCTTTGAGGCAGACAGGCAGGACCGTACTTGTCGCCAGTGGGCTTCTGAGGACTGTTATCTATTTCTTTTCACCATTTTACTCCACTTTGTGGTGGGGCACAGTAAAAATCTCCCTGGAAATTTTTCACTGGTATTATGAGAAAATACTGAGACTTTTATCCTGGCTTTGGATAACATCTGTATACCAGAAACACACAGAATGAAGCATGTTGGAAGGGGCCTATGAACATCAGCTCTTCCAACACAGACCAAGTTGCTCAACATCTTGTCCAGTCAAGTTCTGAATATTTCCAAGATTGGAGATTCAACAGCCTCTCTGGACAATCTACTGCAATACTGTACTTTCACACTGTCACCTTTTTTCCCAGGTAGCTAATTGGAATATCCCTCACAGCCAACTCATTCACTCTCATTTTCTACCTACCTGCCAGAAAACATTAATTCAGTTTCTTGCATAGCTTCCTATTAATTAAAGACAACAACTAGAACCCCTACCTAATTAGATCCCAATCAGATCTTCCTTTTAACCCTCTCCAGATAGAACCTGCTCCGTTCTCTCAGCCCCTCCTCTCCAGCCCCCTGACCATCCTGGTGGCACTCTGCTGGATGCTCTCCAGTATGTTAACATCTGTTTTACACTGGGGAGCCCCAATCTAGACACCATAATCTACATTCAGTCTCACAGTTGCCAAAAACAGAAGAGAGAACTGCCTCAATGTGTTGGCCAGACTCATGCTAACACAGCCCAATACATGGTAGACCCTCTTTGTTGCTCTGCTGACTAGTGTTTAACATTCTGTCCAGTCCAGGTCCTTTTCTGAAAACTGCTCATTTCTCAGTGTGCCACAGTAATGTGGTGTTGTTCTGGCTCAGGTGCAAGACTTTGCACTTGCTTTTGCTGAACTTCCTGAGGTTTCTCCAATCCATATCTTCAATCTCTCAAAGTCTCATTGCAGAGCAGCCTTGCCCCCAGTGCAGTAACTGCTCACTACCAATTTCGTACCATCTGTGAATTTGTTGAGGACCATTTCTACCACATTCTTCTGGTTGTTAATTAAGCCATTAAGCAGGACTGGTCAGGACTGACTTCTGAGCTACTAGTCATTAGCTGCTAGCTGAACATCACCGTGCAATCTCTGCACACTGAATGTGGCAGTTCAGACAATTTTCTGCCTAGCTTGTAGTTCACCTATCCAAAGCAGATGTAACCAGTATCTGAGACCACAGATAGCCTCCCTCAGCCAACTCATCATAGAAGACAATCAGGTTTGAGGGGCAAAAATTGCCCTTCCTAAACTCATACTGGCTGTTTCTGATTCTTGTCCTTCATGGCTTCCAGGAGGATTTGGTCCATATCCATCCCGGGATCTGAAGTTAGTGTCTCCTAACATTCTGTGATCTAACACAGGTCAGATGAGCTACATTACACACTTCCTTACTTCTCCCCACTGGCTTTAAAGATTCCAGACAGTTTGCTCAGAGCAGCTTTTAAAATTGAGTTAGAAGAATCCCCTTTCCTAATAAGAAAATCTGACCCTATTTAAGTTTGAAAGGATTGTTATCTTTCAGATCCACCCTGGAGAACCCAAAATGTGGCATGTGAGCCCGTCTAGATAAGTGTCATGATGAGCTGATAGATGCATAGTAGTCTAATGAAGAGGAATTATGAAAAGCAGTTACAGCAAGTGAATAGTTCTACTGAAGCAATGAATTAATGAATCTATTTTTCCGTGGTCCTGTTTCTTGCCTCAGGCAATAAGAAAAAAGTAAGAAAAGGTCAATACATTTCTTGTCCCATAAAGATTGATAAACCACAGACTCACAGTCCAGGTTTCTTCCTCACATTACATTTTTTTTTTTTAAATAACTATATGTAGAGCTTCTTTTTCATTGACAAGGAATTAAAAATGGTTCCTATTTTTTTCAAGCATATTAATTTTTTTTTCAGAAGAATTTGTAAAATACACTGGATGAATTTTTTCCATGTCTAAGATAAACCAAAGACTGGGACTCAGAAAAGTACAAGTCTAAAAAAAATCTTGTTTAGTTTGTGCTAAGTGCACTGAAACTGGAAATATGGAAAAATGTTCCAGTATTCACATTACTATGTGTAATAATAACCCAAACATAACCTTACCTTTATCCCTTCAAATCTTGACAAAGCTCGTAGAGGCCTCAATGCTCTAAGAGTCCTGAGAGATTTCAAGGCACTCTCAGAGGAACACGGTGATGATGTGTCTTTGGGAGAAGTATTTAGTCCCCAGGAAACAAATGATAGCTGTGTTGAATTGAAACTGAGATTATTAAATGGCATACAAAAGTTTATTTTATTTTTGTCATTAGGCAATACTAGGCTGCATGTTACAGCATCTTTGACTAGTAAAGCAAATGAAGAAAGTACAGATTCAAAGTTGTTTCATATATCACTTTGTTCTTCTTACTATTTTAAAAATAATGGAATTCTGTCGTTCGAATATGAAACATTTTTTATCTTTTTTTTTTCCCAAAAAAGTTCATATTATTTTTTAAATGCTAGTATGACAAGCAAATTGGTAACTATGGTAATTTCACACACTACAAGACTAAAGGATTATTTAAATAAAATATTCCCATTTTCTGCATAGTTATTCTTAGAAGCATAGAAGTATATACATGTGTATACAAGTGTACAGAAGTGTATACAGTAATTCCTTATCATAACTTCAGATGCTGATGTGGAAACAAAAATTATTTTAAAAAGATATCCATGCTTCATTTTAAATTTTTGTGAAAGAGAAAATGAACATAAGACATTAGAAAATTCTTTTGTATTGAAACTCCAATGAGGAGTTTTTTTCCACTGTTCATGATTTGCCTTTTCCTCCCTATCTGAAGGTGTTGTCTCATTGTCTAGCCATTGGATATTTTCATGCTATTCCTCTGTTTTAGACAGCACTGCTATTAACATTACTGTAATTGCAAAACTCATGCTATGTATTCTTTGCAAATTGTTATAATATTGGATTTTCCTGTTGAAATTTCCTAGCACTTCACAACTTCCAAAGCTAATTATCCAGAGGCTAGCAAACAGCTACTTTGCCATATCTGCAGTAACATATTTAACTACAGTATCTTACCCCTGTATTATTGACAAGCAAAATTATTTCATTTTTATATGGCAAGACCACATTGTTGAACTGTGTCTGAATTCAGAATAAATAGGTGTCTATGGAACACTGCACTTCCTCCATCTGACTATTGATGATTTTGGCATTTCTCTTGGTAGCTATATAAAGGATTCTAGGATTTCTTTAATTGCAAAGCAAAACTTACTTTGCACTCTTTAGTAAATGATTTTTCCAACAATACTTTTCAATTCCCTTTACCATCTAAATTTCTCCTCCTTTAAGGAAGCAACTGTATTTGTTTCTGTTCCTAAATGTTGGAGCTGTCAGTCAGCATCTTCATATTTTTCTGGTCTCTTAATTTATTTTAGCTTTACATCTGACCGCTAATTGCACTCTCTCTTTAAACTCAAAAAGGTTTTTAATAACAAACACGGTCCTCAATGACAGTGACACCTAATAAAATTTCTTTAAGCAACTTCTCACTTTTACTTATAATTTCCCTTTAAATTTTTCCTAAAGTGTCTTTTGTTTGTATTTTTTTTTCAGCTTTTGAAAAGTGTCTTTTACACTTCTGTTTCTTCATAATCAGATTTTATATGCAGTTCTCTAAATAGAAAATATCAATATTCAAAATGTTAAGACAAGCTGCATATACTTACACACACAATAATGAAGTCAAGCCAACACCAGGCGTTTGTGAAATAACTGTGCAAACCATAAGCCACCCATTTCAGAAGCATCTCCATGAAAAAGATGTAGGTAAATACTCTGTCAGCATACTCTAGGAGCATTTTCACGTTTTTCCTCTCCTGCAGGTGAATATCTTCAAATGCCTAGAATTACATAATTCGGATATAAGCCTGTTTAGTAGTTTTATAGAAAGGTATATTAAAAATGCACAAGAATACATAGTTTGACTTATTATAACCAATTCATATTAAATTCTGGTCAACCATCACTTAGTTTCATACTCAGAAGTAAAAAAATTGTAAAATAGGTACAACCATATTTTCAGGTTTCACATACTTTCAACTGTTTATGCTCAACACCTCCTCAAAAAATATCTGATGAGGGTCAGTTGTGGCTACCAAAATGCTTGGCTTCCCAAGTTAGTGGATAATTTTGAAAGTGTTGGTCTAAAATTCAGAATAAAGCTTGAATTACACACATTAACCACTGTCTTTCAGACCTAGGCCTTCCAAGAGTCATCTTTAGTCAGCCTGCAGAGTTGTAACACAGATGTGAAAAAAAAACATGACAAACACCTTTCCATGGAACTGTTTATTCCTGGAGTTTCACACTTTTTCTCCTAAACCTTAACATTACTTTATGCCAACAAGAGTTTAGGAAAGTGATTACTGGTTGCTGTAGTTTACATCATTGTTTGCTTGTGTTTATATATTTGGTGCCTTGCTAATTTATTTTAAGTTTTTGATATTGCCTATCTATTCCAAATTCCCTTTAACACCTTGCATTATTTCCTCACCAAGCCTCTGGCAACATCTTTATTCTCCCTTTCATCAGTTTCCTCCCTACCTTATAACTTCATCTCCATTTCTGTTTTGCTGCCAACATTTCTAATGATCTATCCACCCATTTTCACCACCACTGTTTCTTGCTTACAAATCCATGTCTGTCATTACATCCACTGAAATGTTTTTTAACACAGATAAATCAGAAGCCACCCTGTACCACACCTATTCCCACACCCTCGGGTTACTAGACATAAATTACTCAATTACACTTTTTCTGCAATTATTTTTAATGAAATAGTACTACTGCTTTTGGAGTGAAATGGTCTTTGGAGCAGTGCTCATTCCATTGTGCTACAGTGAGGAGAGATGTCTGCAGAGAAGGCTGTCAGTGTCCACAGGACTAGTAATTTGACTGTGGGTATTCCTGTACATAAACCTATTTATCATCTCCTACCTTTTTTTTTTCTGAGCAAGTTTGATTTTTAGCATAGTTTTTTTTTCACCATTTAACCTTGGCTACCTTGATTTCCACCTACTAGTCAAATCTGTTCTTTAGCAGTGATGCTCTTTCAAGCTTCTAACTCCTCCTTTGCTCTGAGCACTGAGCACTCACCACATACTCTTCTGTGCATTCTGCCTATGATCACCATGTCAGTTAATTTACTTCCAGGCCATGGACATGCCTGATGGTATGGTAACCATCCTGGCTGGCTCAGCAAATTCCTTATCAGCAAATAACTTTTCAAACAGAAAATGGTTAAGTCTCTTTTTGCAACAGTACCTTAGATACAAGGAAGTTCTCAACACCACAATACATCTTTGATGAAAAGAAATTGTTATTGTTTTGTTATTTTGCAGCTGGATACCACCAACTTGTTTTGTGTTCCTAGACACAACCTAGACAGATCCTACAGGACATAAAATAATAATTTGGTTTCCTTCTTTAGTTCAGTTTGGTTCCACACGGGCACAGGGGAACCCTCTTTGGGAATCCCAGGGATTTCCCTTGCAGATTTTGTCCTAGGAATTTTGAAGTAGGCAGTTCAAATATATGGTTCAG